ATTGTATTTCCAGTGTTATGTCTATATACAGACACAAGCTAGGTGACCAGGTGTTTTATTGTATTACCAGTGTTATGTCTATATACAGACACAAGGTGACCAGGTGTTTTATTGTATTTCCAGTGTAATGGGTATATACACACACAAGGTGACCAGGTGTTTTATTGTATTTCCAGTGTTATGTCTATATACAGACACAAGGTGACAAGGTTTTTTTTTATTGTATTTTCAGTGTCAGACCTATATTCAGACACAAAGTTACCAGGTGTTTATTATATTTTCAGTGTCAGACCTATATACAGACACAAGGTGACCAGGTGTTCAACAGAATTATTGAAAAACTTCTCAGTCCAACCCAGGTGTGTCAGCTGGCTGGAGTCTGCTCAATAAAACCACCGACCCACCCCAACATGTCCAGTCGCTAGGTCCATCAATCCATCAACAGATATCATCAAGCATGGATCAACACCTTCTGGATACGTGGACTTAATCACGTAGACACTGATCAGACATAATTCATAATGGAGAATGTTTTCTATATACATGATTAATTAGATTTAATATCGTAAATGAAGAGAGCTTGTCAAAACATTCTTTGACAATTACCTGTATGAAAACAAAGGGTCTGGCTTTGAAAAATATCTATACTAAAGCAAAGAATATTAGAGAGCTTGTATAGGCTGTGTCTGTTGTCTGATTCTGATTGTACTCAAGATCTGTACAATAAAATATCCTGAAATGAAATGAGAATATAACTTTGCAAATAGTTCCTTTTTACACACAAACATCACACACAAAAATAATTTGTGCACAATGAATATAATTTCTACGTAAACTTCTTGATAATCTGTCTCACTGTTAGTTTAAGAATTTACAGTACATTTGGTTGATAAATATATAAGTATTTACTCTGTTAGTATCTATCCTTTGTTTACCTTTATTGTATAATGGAACCTTGTCAGCCTGCAGTAAGGGCAGACAATTCAGTACCAGTTATGAGATTCTGAAACATACCTTAACACACCTACATTAAGTACAATACATCTTAAAATTTATTCTGTAATTCTTGTGTAATGACCTTGCACAATTATATTTTTTCCATTAAAAAATGATTTCACAATGAAAATTGGCATTATTTTCATTTTGTTTGCTTATTTGAATGAATTGAGTAGTAAGCTATGTACAAACACCAAGTACCATGTAAAACAAAGTGTTTCTGAGACAATGATCACTATTTTTTGTCCTTGACGGAGGTCATTTGCTTCCATAAATAGTTCAATGCCTAACGTTTAACAAATATTAGCTGATGGTGTGTCCTACACTGGGTGATCTGAGTGAAGAGACTTTGAACAGGTCAAGTTGTTAGGAATGCTATGACCACGCTGCCTAAGGTAACTCTGTTGTAGATATTGGTGTGTACAACATAAGTCAATCATATATCAAGTTCAGTTTATTGTACACACATATAAATACATATTTATGTACAAGGATGAAGTTACAGCATGTTTTATACAAATGTAAATAATACACAATGTGTATAGATTTTTTATGAAACACAATGTTTTCGTATAACTAACAATGTGTGCATTCAATATACAATGCTTTTACATTTATGTTACATATCTATATATAATAGGCAAAACTCAATATACAGTGTATGAGGGAATATCAAATGATTCACACTACCACAACAGATGACACCGCATCAGTTCCCCCGTCATATCAATACAATGTTCTTTGAGTGGCATAGTGTGGTGAGTGCTACTCTGGTTAGCTAGCAACACAACACAGCGCTTTTTACTCAGTGTTATGAGTCATTAGCTCTAGCTTAACACCTTAGATATTGTAACACTATTTGGAAAATAGATACTTTATAAATACTAAAAAAATCTGCAGAAATATCAGTTTACAACTGTAATGTAGCTTGAAACAGCACAGATCTCACACAATTCAAGTTCAAATGAAAGATCAACAAAACTGCAAATCTATTGTGACAAACTGTAATATGATTTCAGAGTTCTTGAGATAAGAATTGTATCTTTCTGAGCAGGTTTTCAACCATATCTGTAGAAGGTTAGTCATTCAATGAATAGTTTGATCATGATTCTTTTGTACTCCTGTTCATAACTGCTTGTTTCTGCTGTAAGACACAAAACCAGCCTCCTTCCTTTGCTAACACGAAGTTACAGTAAACAAGAGGCCCATGGGCCTTAATGGTCACCTGACATCCGATTCAAATTAGGACTGTCATCCAGGGGCCAATTCATACTTTTTCGACGGTCCGAGTGACCTTGCTGCACCGTCCATTAATTTTTCCTTGTGAAATAACTTCCATAAATATGAACCGATTTTGATGAAACTTTGTATGCAGCTTTGTATCAATGAGATCTTGGATGAGTTTGAATACCGGATCAATTTGACCATAACTTACATAGTTATTCCCCTTGGTAATTCTATTATTGTTGGACCCTGTGAACACGATAACTGAAATAAATGGGTGTGACTCCAATTTTGACCGAAGGGGTCTGTTTTGAACAAACTTGGTAACAGTATGTCTTCTGTTCTTGGTTAAAAGATTTATTAAATAAGGCACAAAATTTTAATAGCACCTTGTTAATAGCAAAAATGCGTCATAAATGAAAAAAAAGGTGTACCACATGAATTTACATTTATTCTTGTGTAATGTCAATCAACATCACAGGGACAAATATTGATATAATGACAAAGGGCAATAACTCTGCAAGTTACTGTCAAATAATTATTTGACAAAGTTTCATTGAACTCCGTCAACATTTATTCAAGTTATCGTGTTTACAAGGTCCAATAATAATATTATTACAAAGAGCAATAACTCGGTAAGTTACTGTCAAATAATTCCCAGTTTCGAACTCATCCGAGATCTAAATTATATAAGGCTACATACAGATTTTCATCAAACTTGGTTGATATTTACTCAAGTTATCGTGAACACAAGGTCCAATACAAAATAGTGTAATAATATTATTACGAAGGGCAATAACTCTGTAAGTAACTGTCGAATAATTCCCATTTTCCAACTCATCCGAGATCTTATTGATATAAGGCCGTATACAAAGTTTCATCAAACTTGGTGGATAATTACTAAAGTTATCATGTTTACAAGGTCCAATAATAATATTATTACAAAGGGCAATAACTCTGTAAGTTACTGTCAAATAATTCCTATTTTCGAACTCGTCCGAGATCTTATTGATATATGGCTGCATACAAAGTTTAATCAAACTGGGTAAACATTTGCTCAGGTTATTGTGTTCACAAGGTCCAATAATAATATTATTACAAAGGGCAATAACTCTGTAAGTTACTGTTGAATAATTCCCATTTTCAAACTTGTCCGAGATCTTTTTGATATATGGCTGCATACAAAGTTTCATCAAACTCCGTTAACATTTACTCAAGTTATCGTTTTCACAAGGAAAAGTTAACGCACGACGCACGACGACGGACAAAAGGCTATCACAATAGGTTACCATGACCTATGGTTAGGTTACCATGACCTATGGTCAGGTAACCTAAAAACATTAATATGCTTTTAGATTATGTTTCAAATTCTACATGGACCTATTCGACCACAAAGCTGCAGCCTTCAGAACAATAGGATGGTACAAGTAAGCTGTGGTATTGTTTACCCTAGTCTAGTGGTATTATTTATACCAGTGGTATTATTTACACTAGTCTAGTGGTATTAGTTACACCAGTGGTATTATTTACACTAGTCTAGTTGTATTAGTTACACCAGTGGTATTATTTACACTAGTCTAGTGGTATTAGTTATACCAGTGGTATTATTTACACAATTGGTATTAGTTATACCAGTGGTATGATTTACACTAGTCTAGTGGTATTATTTACACCATTGTGTTATTTACACCATTGGTATTAGCTATACCAGTGAAATTATATATACCATAGGTATTAGCTATACCAGTGGTATTATATATACCATTGGTATTAGCTACATGCCATATCTTATTGAACAGATTGGATAGCCTAGTATCTGATGAATCTTTCATTGTCTGTCACATATGAACTGAACCTTATAAATTCAAGATAAAACCTGTAAACGGAGTCACACACATTGTTTCTGTCACCATGGTCTAAACAATTCTTTTAAATAATATTGTGTGCCATGTTACATAAAATACAATTCTTAGTGACGTACATGTATTAGATGTATGTACAAATATATCACAACAAATGACCTATAAGGTCATATGACTGTAAACTATAATCACAATATCACGTATCACAGAACACATTACCACAGCAGATCACAGTCTCCGCGGATTTTGGAGGCATTGTTTTGTAAGTAAGCTACAATGTTCAACATCATCTCCCTGCAGACAATTATTGCGTAGGTTGGTTGACGACTATAAATCCACATCCTGGTTGTCTCCCTTTACTCTGTTGACCATCGATGTGTTGGTTGTTGCTACATTTGATGGGGTCACTGCTGTTGTTGTCGTCGTCTTCTTCTTCTTCATCACTGTCACCAGTTCCACGGCCAAGTTATTGTACCGAATCATACAACTCACAGCAGCTACATTCATTATCCCCTAAAAACATTAAAAAAGATCAGAGGTGAGGAAAGCATATGTATATCACAGTGACCTTGTTATAAAAGGATACATACTGGTTGTCCTATATGTCTCTACAGACAGTTTGGTTGCCTGAAGACAGATGGAAAATTTGATTATGAACCTCTTGTTTTATATAGTGCGAAACAATTGTTAAAATGCTATTTATAAACTTTCATATTTCTTTTGAAAGTTGTTTAACGGAAAAGTGGTGTTCCCAAAAAAATTTGAGGAGGAGTACAAACTGATTCAATAAGTAGAGTCTGATGTGGTTTATCTGCTCTGTAAGGAAAACATGGAGAACATCAAACTACACAGGAGATAGAGGAGAGATGCCTGTGTATCATGTAGACATAGAGGAGAGATGCCTGTGCATCATGCAGACAAAGAGAAGAGATGCCTGTGTATCATGTAGACATAGAGGAGAGAGGCCTGTGTATCATGTAGACATAGAGAAGAGATGCCTGTGTATCATGTGGACATAGAGGAGAGATGCCTGTGCATCATGTAGACATAGAGGAGAGATGCGTGTGTATCATGTAGACATAGAGGAGAGATACCTGTGTATCATGTAGACAAAGAGTAGAGATGCCTGTGTATCATGTAGTCATAGAGGAGAGATGCCTGTGTATCATGTAGACAAAGAGAATATATGCCTGTGTATCATGTAGACATAGCGGAGAGATGCCTGTGTATCATGTAGACATAGAGGAGAGATGCCTGTGTATCTTGTAGACATAGAGGAGAGATGCCTGTGTATCATGTAGACATTTGAAAAGAGGATATCAGGATGGGTGGCCAAATGAGAAAGCAAAAGTGATGAAGCCGAGGTTGTTGAAAGGTGAACAAACATTTCTGAAGAAGTGATAAATCTACCTAGCAAACACCAAACGCTAGTCAGATGCTGTGAAGAGTGCGAGGGAAATACAAGGTGATATCTGCAAGTTGATATCTTAAACCTGGGCTGAATGTTAGGACATTGATATACTGAATGTTAGGGACACTGATACTGTAGAAGATATACTGAATGTAAGGGACACTGATGCTGTAGAAGATATACTGAATGTAAGGGACACTGATGTTGTAGAAGATATACTGAATGTAAGGGACACTGATATTGTTGAAGATATACAGTTGTGGGATCGCACAACGTTACACGATGTGCGGTGTGCGCACGATGTGTGTACGGTTTGTGAATGATGTGTGCACGATGTGCGAACGATAAAACTGTGGGCGATCAAATCTTGCGCACATTTGTGTGCACGATGGACGAACGTTGTGCGATAACAATCGTCGTTGGTGTAAATTGAGGAATGCCTTAACAATATATACGGTTTCGTGTTTAAACATATAAACCTTGATTTTTACGTATGTTGCTATATTCTACCTACACCTATATACTTAACTTTCTATCTATATTTTCTTAAATTTAGAAATTGTGTTTTTGGTATTTTTTAAACGACCTTAATCGACACATGTGAAATCACAACACAGTCCCGTATACAGGTAAACATAACCACTAGCCGTCTACATGTACCTGGACGGTAGTTTTCCCCCGCCCGGGGCGCTTACGTATTTCGTCGGGTAGGTCCAGGGGTGTGAAAACACAGGTGAAGGGGAGCTATAGGCAAACCGAATGCAAATAACAAATACTAAACGTCCAGCTGTGTTTTCATTACGGTCATACGGTATCGCATATCAGCTCTATGTGTCAGGTACAGGCCAGGTCAAACCCCGGTAACTCATCAAATTGTTAATTACATATTCTGTTACCTTGGCGCGAAACCCATTCTTGACAGTCTAACGGTCACTGTAATGCTGTGTTACACGCATTGTACAACTGTACATAATCTTCATTACTGTGATGAGATATTACAATAATACATACAGTTTTCATTATTGCATACGAGCTTTCCGTATTTTTTTCATTCCGTAATATTGATCTACAAATTGTACCCAATCGCACAGTTGTGCGGAGAGAAGCGCACAACGGGGCGAACGATTGTTAAATCGCACAGTTGTGCGCACCATGTGTGGACGATGTGCGGACGGTGTGTGAACGATGTATGCACGGTGTGCGCACGCTATTTTTGGTGCGTTGTGCAGTCACACAACTGAACTGAATGTAAAGGACATTGATGCTGTAGAAGATATACTGAATGTAAGGGACACTGATATTGTAGAAGATATACTGAATGTAAGGGACACTGATGCTGTAGAAGATATACTGAATGTAAGGGACACTGATGCTGTAGAAGATATACTGAATGTAAGGGACACTGATGCTGTAGAAGATATACTGAATGTAAGGGACACTGATGTTGTAGAAGATATACTGAATGTAAGGGACACTGATGCTGTAGAAGATATACTGAATGTAAGGGACACTGATGTTGTAGAAGATATACTGAATGTAAGGGACACTGATGCTGTAGAAGATATACTGAATGTAAGGGACACTGATGCTGTAGAAGATATACTGAATGTAAGGGACACTGATGTTGTAGAAGATATACTGAATGTAAGGGACACTGATGCTGTAGAAGATATACTGAATGTAAGGGACACTGATGCTGTAGAAGATATACTGAATGTAAGGGACACTGATGTTGTAGAAGATATACTGAATGTAAGGGACACTGATGCTGTAGAAGATATACTGAATGTAAGGGACACTGATGTTGTAGAAGATATACTGAATGTAAGGGACACTGATGCTGTAGAAGATATACTGAATGTAAGGGACACTGATGTTGTAGAAGATATACTGAATGTAAGGGACACTGATGCTGTAGAAGATATACTGAATGTAAGGGACACTGATGTTGTAGAAGATATACTGAATGTAAGGGACACTGATGCTGTAGAAGATATACTGAATGTAAGGGACACTGATGCTGTAGAAGATATACTGAATGTAAGGGACACTGATGCTGTAGAAGATATACTGAATGTAAGGGACACTGATGCTGTAGAAGATATACTGAATGTAAGGGACACTGATGCTGTAGAAGATATACTGAATGTAAGGGACACTGATGCTGTAGAAGATATACTGAATGTAAGGGACACTGATGCTGTAGAAGATATACTGAATGTAAGGGACACTGATGCTGTAGAAGATATACTGAATGTAAGGGACACTGATGCTGTAGAAGATATACTGAATGTAAGGGACACTGATGCTGTAGAAGATATACTGAATGTAAGGGACACAGATGCTGTAGAAGATATACTGAATGTAAGGGACACTGATGTTGTAGAAGATATACTGAATGTAAGGGACACTGATGCTGTAGAAGATATACTGAATGTAAGGGACACTGATGTTGTAGAAGATATACTGAATGTAAGGGACACTGATGCTGTAGAAGATATACTGAATGTAAGGGACACTGATGCTGTAGAAGATATACTGAATGTAAGGGACACTGATGCTGTAGAAGATATACTGAATGTAAGGGACACTGATGCTGTAGAAGATATACTGAATGTAAGGGACACTGATGTTGTAGAAGATATACTGAATGTAAAGGACACTGATGTTGTAGAAGATATACTGAATGTAAAGGACACTGATGTTGTAGAAGATATACTGAATGTAAAGGACACTGATGCTGTAGAAGATATACTGAATACATGTAAAGGGAAATTACAGTCACTATTTTCACCTGATTTTCATGTGTTTTTTCATTTTAACTTTGAAGCACTCCATGACAACAAGCTATTAGTCAAATATCACTATCCTAGGCCTTTTGCGTATTCAGTGGAAGTCATTTGAGCATTTTATTAAATTTGATTCCTATGATTTTAAATATATTTCTTTTCATAGGCTTTGAGGCACTCAGTACCAGTAATCTTCAGGCAAAGTGTGACTCTAGACCCTTCAGGGATTCAGGATATGTAACTTGACCACTTTAACCTTGACTATATGAATAGCTAGCTTTGTCCAACCATCATTACTTGTTACCTATTGGTTCTACAGAAAAAGTCATTTGATTTGTACATGTATCAACTTTGACTCACGTGACCTTGAATATTGGTCAACATCTTTACTTTTTGCAAACTTGTAGCACTCCATGTCTGATAGCTACTGGTCAAATATCATCACTCTAGACATTTTTGTTTTTCACTGCAAGTCAATTGAGTTTTTTTGCCATTTTTTGTTGAATACTCTACCAGAAAAAAATCGTAAATTCTGATTTACCATACAATCATTTCAAAGTTTTTTAATATTATATAAACATTGACTTGACACATGGTTGAGATTGTGTAGATGTTTGAATGCCCCCCCCCCCCCATATGTCCACCATCATTATTACCTGTCGTATCACCTTCCGGATCTCGTCAATATCCTGTATGGCAAGCAAGTACTCTGTCACCATGTCCCATTCCTGCAGCAGAAAATTGTCCTATACAGTTCTTTCTCGTAGTTCAAAACTTTAAATTATAAAGCGGAAATTTTCTGTCAGGATATTTCAAGTCATCAATATGTTGAAACTCAAATGTTTGGATATATAAATGAAATATTGGAGAATAATCTTTGACTCACCATGGCTAGGGACTCCACTTGGAGGAAGAGTTCTGTGAGGGCCCTGACAACAGGGGGCAGCACTATGTTACTATCCACTTCCTGTTTGGTCATTTGATTGTACAAATGCCATAGAGCTTTTAGCAGGCTGAGGTCAAGGGTCAACTTGGAGCTGCTTGCAGTTCTACAGAAAAGAATTAATACTGCCAGGAACAAGAATGTTTTTTGATGTAACTTTTCTGTACCAGGAAAGACATATCTTTTGATTTACTCAGAGAGAAACAAAACAGACAGAAGATTTACTTTTGGAATTGAAAAAAAATCTATTTTCAAAATGTACAATATTTGTGACTACAAAGTCTCACAAAATTAATATGTGATAAGCAGTGGTCATCTTCATACTAACTAACCTGTGTTGAGTCCCGACAATCTTCAGCAGGAGCTGGATAGCTTTTAGTCGCTGACAGCCAGTCTGTTTGGTGGCCACATATACCAGGATCTGCCAAAGGTCACGTAGAGGGAGGGCTCTGTAACATAGACCAACAGAGGGGAGGTCAATAGGTGAAGGGGAGACTTCTTAACTGAGTCCCCTTAGTCTAAAAATGCTTCAGATCAAATTTAGCCGAAGTCCACTCAGCTGTTTTGGACTGGTAATGTTTAAAGGAAAAGTTAATGCTGTGCAACATAAGGTCACAGGGTAAGCTAGCTAGAAATGATAAGAACCTAGTTGTGTTATCTAAGCATAGGTTACAAATTGGGCACATACAGTATATTTGACCAGAGTTCCAAATCATAAGCAGGAGGTTGGCTGTCTGGATGAGCAGTGTTAATGCCCCTCTGGCCTGATGTTAAAATGGTATGTACACCAGACGTCATTTCTTGACACAGAGACTAGTGTATATTGGATCTGTGAGGTATGAGCTGTAAAGGTTTCACCTCATTAACATAAACCCTTTTGTAAAATGACTTTAAAAATGGTGAGTGTCTTAAGGACTTTCAAAGAAGAATGTGTAATAAAGGTTAAATAAATACTTACAATGCTAAATTAGTAGAAAGAACTCGGTTCAGAATGGCATATCCAGTTTCAAAGCTGTCTCGAGTGCCAGCAGTCACAGTGAACTTGTATCCCCACACTGGCACTTGCACCAGAACATCCCTGCTGCTCTTGAATGAGTAATACAGGGTGTCACCTGTGGGGAAAATAGAGGCCAGCACATCAGAAAAGTAGACACAAGTCTGTATATTCACGACTCAGGTATATACCTGTATATATAAATATTCACGACTCTGGTATATACCTGTATATATACATCTTCACGACTCGGGTGTATACCTGTATATATACATATTCACGACTCGGGATTATACCTGTATATATACATATTCACGAATCGGGTATATACCTGTATATATAAATATTCACGACTCGGGTATATACCTGTATATATACATATTCACGACTCGGGTATATCCCTGTGTATATACATATTCACGACTCGGGTATATACCTATATATATATACATATTCAAGACTTGGATAAATACCTGTATATATCCATATTCACGACTCGGGTATATACCTGTATTTACCCGTATATATACATATTCATGACTCGTGTATATATATATGTATATATACATATTCACGACTCGGGATTATACCTGTATATATCCATATTCACGACTCGGGATTATACCTGTATATATCCATATTCACGAATCGGGTATATACCTGTATATATAAATATTCACGACTCTGGTATATACCTGTATATATACATCTTCACGACTCGGGTGTATACCTGTATATATACATATTCACGACTCGGGTGTATACTAGCTACATATTCATGACTCGGGTATATACCTGTATATATATATATTCATGACTCGGGTATATACCTGTATATATACATATTCACGACTCGGGTATATACCTGTATATATACATATTTATGACTCGGGTATATTGTGTATTCCTGTTTATATATAAATAAAACAAAACACGAAGACTAGCATAATTGGTTAGCGCTTTCGCCCATCTTGGGGCTCTTCAGGTGATTTAAATTTATTTGTGACGTCATAAATGGAGTACACATACTTAAGACGTCAAAAATAATGATGTCATAAACAAAGTACACATAATATGGACGTCTAGAAATTGCGACGTCTTAAAAAGATTACATAAATGTACCTGCATTAAATGCGTCAATGAAATATATGGGAAAAGAAACGGAGCATATTACAAATGCTCAAATGAATACATTGTTCAATAGTAAAGTTAACAACATCTGATAGTAAAAATGAATTTCAAAGCACAATACTTAGTTCATCCGAACATATTAAACATACAGAATATACATATTCATGACTCGGGTATATACCTGTATGTATATATTTAGGACCCGGGTATATACCTGTATATATATATGACTAGTATTGTAACACCATTAAATAAGTGTATATAAAAGACTCTAGTATTGTAACACTTATAAATGCATGTATTTACAATGCAGCTGACATCCAGATCTTTAGATTTCTAGTATTAAATTACCTGGAATTCTGAAGTTGGACCAGGTAGGAGTGGCAGGGCCGGTGTACTCATGTTTGTTTATATCCATAGTGGAGGAGGAGGAGAATACCACGACATCATCTGTGTCACGCACTGCACACTTGCTGTCAAATGTCACTTGGAGGTAAGATGCCCCTGGTAACTGGATTGTCTTTTTGACATCTGGGATGTGTCGACAGTTGTGATCCGACTCGTGGGTGATGGACGACAGAGTGACCTCCTCCATAAACTGTCCCGCTGTACTGGCAATAGGCACCAGACTGTCCGTCTGACAGTTACGTATCACCTTCTCCACTACCTGGCAACATTTAATGATTTAGTTTTACAATATTTAGGAGTTATAAGGACAGTCTCTTAAAATGACCAGAGTGTTACAGCAATCATGTATGGAGGAAGAATGAGAGCCTCACTGTCATACATTTATAGAAAAGTCTACTTCTGTAGGAGAGTTGGTGGCTCAATAATTAGATGTGAAGACCTACATATGTAGTGGTTATGTTGTCACCCTCCCGTACTACACAGTAAGACAGCAATCACACTGTGGGCTCCCCTCTCTAATCCATACTCTACACCCTGATGTCCTCTACCTCAGCTACAGATTTAATGGCTATTCTACATGCTTGACACTCCTCCCAGCTACAGATTTAATGGCTGTTCTACATGCTTGACACTCCTCCCAGCTACAGATTTAATGGCTATTCTACATGCTAGAACTCCTTCCAGTACAGATTTAATGGCTATTCTACATGCTTGACACTCCTCCCAGTTACAGATTTAATGGCTGTTCTACATGCTGGACACTCCTTCCAGTACAGATTTAATGGCTATTCTAGATCTACATGCTTGACACTCCTCCCAGTTACAGATTCAATGGCTATTCTACATGCTTGACACTCCTCCCAGCTACAGATTCAATGGCTATTCTACATGCTGGACACTCCTTCCAGTACAGATTTAATGGCTTTCTACATGTAACAGGGTGTACTCATTGCACTAAGTCACACAGTGTCCACGTGTTGTCTATCCCGTACTCGTGTCATAACCTGAACGTGGAGTGTTGTGAGAGAGTGAACTGCACGAGTATTTACATACTCACGCCACCCCGTGTGTCCTATATGTACGCGCACGTCACCACCCTGATTCACTTCACACTATGCTGCCGAGCAGGACGGACAGTGTATATCCTTCCCAGGTCCCTGGTAAGTCTCATAATATATTTTACTCAGTGTTTATTCATGTAATGATATAACAATACCTGTGATAATATATATGTAGTCATGTCCATCGTATTCGTAAAGTGAAAGTAACTGTATATGTATATTGTAACTGAGTCTTAGTTTCGTATCTTTTTGTTAACAGGTTTCTTTGGAGAGAATAAATACAAGAGACCTTGAAAAGTCGTTAAAGTTGTTCTTACCCAGCCTTTGGGGCTAAGAGGGTTACATACATGCTGGACACTCCTCCCAGCTACAGATTTTATGGCTATTCTACATGCTGGACACTCCTACTAGCTACAGATTTAATGGCTATTCTACATTCCGGACACTCCTCCCAGCTACAGTTTTATTGTTTATTGTCAGTTCTAACTGATCAAGCTCCGCAAACTGCAGACCTGTTATTTTCATTTCAGTAAATTTTATTGAAAAATCAAAAGGATTGGACAACAGGCTATGCCTATATAAGTCCTCTCCTAGCCAGAATTACAAACAAATATAAACTATATATAGAAAGAAATAGAAAGAAATGGTACATGAAATAGTTACAGAAATAGTGATGCAAGGGGAGTAACTCCCATAGAAGTTTTAGTTAAATAAATATATATATGCCTCATTTATTTAGACCAAGGATCCCCCAGTGTTGGGCAGCAAGAGATCCATAAGCTACTAGGGATTCTGACCATACAAAGTCCTTAGCCATACACTGGCTTTGGTCATTCACCCCAGCAGACCTTGGATCCTCGCCATGCAACACTAGGAGATTTTTGATAATACAATGTACATATTTTGTATATAGTTAATTATTTTCAGCAGAAGTCATCATTTTTTCATCATCATCCAACCACCTACATTCATCAATTTATTTTATCAATTTATAAAGTAAGAATTATATTAATTTTTTTTTTTTTTTTTTTTGTAGAAAGACTTGTAAGCAAGATGAATTTTATTATTCACAGTACAGAAACAACTAATGGTGGTTAAGGAATCTCTTTGTATCAGTGATAAAGACTGATACCTTTTCAAGTATAGAAGCATTTATATCATCACTACATTGTGAACAACCATTGAGAAAGACATTTATATTATTATGCATATGATTATCATTCGGTAAAGAGTTCATCAGAACATGTCTTTGGTTATTAAAATTTTGACATTCAAAAAAGTAATGGTAGGGGGTTTCTTGATCCTGTCTGCAATCACAAGTAGGTGATCCAGACAAGTGATCATTATAAAGGTCAAAGTTCAAATTACTGGCCTTATTTCGTAGTTGGCATAAAATAATATTAATTTTTCTGCATCCTGAATATTTAAATATGAGGGTTACATCATTATGGGGTTTGTTAAGGTTTTTTAGGTGTTTTTTAAACTGAGATAGGGATTGGGAGTTAGTAATAGTAGAGTCCAGCTGATTATATTTGTTGAGAGTGGCAGGAAAGTAACTGTTAAAATAATTATCTGTTCGACAGAGAGGCGGATTAAAAATTCTATTTCCCCTTAACTCATATCTTGTACTTGTAATATCATTAATAAATGGATCTATAATATTTAATAAGTAAGATGGGGAGTCATTATGCAGAATTCTATACATAAAAATTAATTTTTGTTTATTTCTTCTTTCAGCTAATGTTTCCCATTCTAATTCTTCGTAAAGTTTCACATGAGATGTTCCTCGGCGTAATCCTGTAATTATCCTGGCTGCATCTAATTGGACTGATTCGAGAAGTGTTTTTTCCTGTTCTGTACAATTGTCCCATACTACACTTGCATATTCTAAGATTGGCCTAATATAAGAGGTATACATTATAATAAGTGATTTTTTATCAACAGAATGTTTTAGACTTCTAAGAATGTTTATTCTTTTATATGCCTTATCATAGGTATTTTGTATGTGTTCAGCCCATTTACCATCTTCAGTGAAAGTAAGACCAAGATGAGTGTGAAATCTATTGTTAGTTAGTGGTTCATTCAAGAAAGAAATAGGTGGGTGATTTGGTTCTTTTTTCCTAGTAAAAATAACAGATTCAGTTTTTGCAGCATTAAATTTTAAGTCCCACTTTTTTGCCCATGTACTTATATTCTGAAGATCATTTGTTAGACTTTCTGCTGCTTGTATTGGATTATTATCAATAATTATGTATAAGGAAGTATCATCAGCAAATAATTTAATATTATTATTAACTTGGTCTGTTATATCATTAATGTACAGTAGGAATAAAAAAGGCCCAAGAATTGATCCCTGAGGAACTCCAGCATTAACATTAGTAAAATTTGAAAAGTGGCCCTCTGTAAACACTCTCTGTTTTCTTTCAAATAAATAGTCTTTGAACCAAGATAACAATTTTCCTTTTATTCCAATTGACTCTAGTTTGAATATAAGACCATCATGCCATACTCTATCGAAAGCTTTGCTCACATCACAAAATACAAATCGCACTTCTTTACCCCCATCTAAATTACTTACTATTATGTGATATATAGATAAAAGCTGATTTACAGTCGAGTCACCAGGTAAGAATCCAGATTGATGTTTGGATATGATTTCATTATCAGTAAGATAGTTATATAAATTTTTAAATATAATTTTTTCAATAATTTTACTAAAGCATGATGTGATTGATATTGGTCTATAGTTTGTAACTTCATTCTGTGACCCTTTACCCTTATAAATAGCATTAACATTTGCCAATTTCCAGGATGTTGGTATTTTGCCAGTTTCTATGGTTTTATTAAATAGCAATTGTAGCGGTAATGAAATGGAGGAACGAAGCTGCTTAATAATTTTTGGGATCATCTCATCTGGACCAGGCGTTTTTTTATCATTAAGGATTTGTAATTGGTCTAAAACATCTTGCTCAGAAATAAAGATATTATCTAGTTTAGAAGGAAAGTTATTAACCAAGGGAGGTAATTGTTCAAGATCAGGAGAAGAAGATGCTATAGATGAAAAGTAGTTATTTAGAGTCACAGCTTTATCAGTTGGGTGTTGAATGCTCATTCCTTCATCATATATTGGTGGTATACTTTTCAGTTTATTATTAAAGTTTAAAACAGATTTGGCAACTTTCCACCACTTACTAGGTGGTACAGATTTATCACATAAGGATTTTTGGAGATTTTCAAGATAAAACTTCTTGGCATTTCTTATCATATCAATAGCTTCATTTCTAATTAGTCTAAAGGTTTCCCAACAAGTCTGACTATTAATATTTTTTGCTTTTTTGTGAATTTTATTTTTCTGTCTTAATATCAGCCTTATTTTATTGGTCATCCACGGTTTGTCATCTGGCCGGATAGTTATCAGACCTGTTATTGTCTGGTTTACCTGCTGGAAACACTCCCGGCTCTCCATCTTGTTGAGAAGGTCGAGAACACATGGTATCTGCTGTACATCCTTACAGCCGAGAAGCTCTGCGGAGATGACATGTCCGGAGTCTGGCCACTGGGCCAGGAGACTAATAAGGACTTGGCGGGCGTACAGTACAGACATGGCCATGTTGACCTTGTGGAGGTAATCTGTTGACCCTGCTTTCCCCTGCTTCTCAAGCTCCTGTTTAAGTAGTTCAGCACTCTTTGCACGCTGCTGTTTGTGGATGTCGTCCTCCATATCATTGTCAGGAGTACGAATCAGCTTCTGAGTTTCCCCACTCTCCTCTGTAGCTTTCTCTATTCCTCTGTTATCATTAAAATAGGGACTGAATTTCATGATAAAGCAAAAGCAGATACACACTAAACTATTCTTTAGTGGATGTGGTGATTGCGGCTTTATCACAGACACATAACGTAAATTTATATCAGCCGCATCAAGCTTTATCTCAGAAATATCAAGGATCAGCTGGTAAATTAAAATATTTCTGATGCATCAAATACATTTGTCTCAAACACATTTAGTTAATCTAGCTGACACATCAAGTGAATTAATGATTTTACCTCTCTGTCTGCTTCATGACTGGGTGGTAGTGTATTCCAGTGTCGATCACTTTGTCTGTGACACTGGTCATTTGGGTGACCTCTGGACTCTTTGTGTGTGCAATGGACTCCCTGTAACAACAAGAGTACCGCAGGGTAGAACAATATACGACCATGCCAATCTGACATACTTAAAATCCTTCTGATATATTGTATCTCAATGTATGAAAATATGGAAATGTAGGGAAAAGTAACTTGTACTGTGTTACTCAGTAAGTTGATAATTACAGAAACACAATATTTTTTTGTACAATTTAAGACAGTGAAGCAATACTGTCCCTTAGAAAGTAAAAATTATTTTTGTGAGATTACAATAACTTTAAACATACAGCAGCATACCATTTCTGACTGAGTCTTTTAATATCCTCTTTGGCTGTCATAGGTGAGTTTTCTAAGCTGGAAGAAGAGTTTATTTGTATGAAATAGCTGTAAAAGCAACATAATTTCTCATCAAAGGATTTTTTTTTTAACAATTATAGTACAATGTAGTTTTAATGCTAAAAATGTTTTAACACCTTAATTTAGTTATAATTATTTGATGTCCTGAATAATTACCAAAGTTAGACAAAATATGTTTTGCTATATATAGAGAGTTGAGGAACTTGACAAAAATATTTACTATAAATGCTTACTTTTCCACTATGGCCTTAACAACATCATCTGGGTTCTTATCATGCATGTCAAATATGGCACGGAGGACATCATACGGAACCTTCAGGTCGCTGTGTAGTGTCTGAAATCAATCTTAGTACTACAGTTTCTTAACAGCAGAAAACATTCCAGTGGACAATGCTTCAGCAGGTTATTTTAAACGTTCCAGTCACTTAGTATTTCAAGTAGATGAATTTCATAAAAAAAATGTTATATAACCCCTACATTTCAATGTCACTCCTCATGATAATGAACAAATTAATAATTTAAAATAGTTTAAGCGACTTATATCAATCACTCTGACTCAGATAGAAGAGTGGAGGGGTCGTGAGAAGAAACAGAAGTACCCAGATAAAACCCAAATTCAAGGTGAGATGACCACTAGCCTTTTTACAAACGATTGTGAAATATAAGCCAATGCAATCTTAGTGAAATGTGACAGCCCTACCCACTGGAGGGAGATTATCTCAAACTACTGGTAGATCTCTAAGTCAATCTTAGTGAAATGTGACAGCCCTGCCCACTGGAGGGAGATTATCTCAAACTACTGGTAGATCTCTAAGTCAATCTTAGTGAAATGTGACAGCCTTACCCACTGGAGGGAGATTATCTCAATATACTGCTACATCTGTAAGTCAATCTTAGTGAAATGCGACAGCCCTACCCACTGGAGGGAGATTATCTCAAGCTACTGGTTGATCTGTAAGTCAATCTTAGTGAAATGCGACAGCCCTACCCACTGGAGGGAGATTATCTCAATATACTGCTACATCTGTAAGTCAATCTTAGTGAAATGCGACAGCCCTACCCACTGGAGGGAGATTATCTAAATCTACTGGTAGATCTGTACCCAAATGTTAGTGAAATGTGACAGCCCTACCCACTGGAGGGAGATGATCTCAATCTACTGGTAGATCTGTAAGGCAATCTTAGTGAAATGTGACAGCCCTGCCCACTGGAGGGAGATTATCTCAAACTACTGGTAGATCTCTAAGTCAATCTTAGTGAAATGTGACAGCCTTACCCACTGGAGGGAGATTATCTCAATATACTGCTACATCTGTAAGTCAATCTTAGTGAAATGCGACAGCCCTACCCACTGGAGGGAGATCATCTCAAACTACTGGTAGATCTGTAAGTCAATCTTAGTGAAATGCGACAGCCCTACCCACTGGAGGGAGATCATCTAAATCTACTGGTAGATCTGTAAACTAGTAAACATTACCTACATCATTACAGTGGAATTATTTATAATGAAAGTCAATATTCAACTGACCAGAAGTAATTGATCCTTTCTTTTCTTCAGAGCCATCCTTTAAAATATTTTACATTACAACATATTTTTACACTATAACAATTTTTTTTAATCATGTTGCTGAATAAAATTACCTCAAACATGACCTTTGTCCTCTGATCAAGGTCGGGGAATGTGTCGTTGATATTTGTTGTTTCTGTTTCGTCATCACTGCTGTCTGCCCCGCTGTTAAAACTCGATGATGACGATGATGACAGGTATGACATGTTGTCGTTGTCACTATCATTGAACTCATTGTTTTCTGAACACCGTTTTGATTTTGTACGTTTCTCTAAAGCAGCAGCTAGTTGTTCTGGGTAGGATAAAGCCTTGCTGCGTTTGTGAGATGCACCCACTCCTTCGTTTGTGTATAACATCAGAGAGAGAACCTGTCCAACAAGGAGACAAAATGGAATGATCTGGGCAGGAAACAGTTTAATATTGCTGTCTTTTTTAATTAACATATTTAAGATAAATTGCATAAATACATAGGTAATGTCCCACTACCACAATTGGTGCACGGTCAGAAAATGGTTTGAATATTTAGATACACATACTTTAAAATTCAAATTTGTGTATTTTCCACTGATGGTATAACAATAGATATTTATCAGCATTTCCCAATTAGTTTTGTTTTCAGGGACATTTTTAAAATAGATGATGAATTCAAAGTAAACATGTCAAAAAACCAGAAAACAAGTAACATGCTGACACAAGTTTGGAGGATATTGAAGGGGTTAGTAGTTATAAGCATGTTTAAATGTTTTAAAGTGTATATATACAATTGTAGTTCAGTATGGTATTTATAAAAGCAATATATCTTGCTGCAATTGGCATATAAATTAGTAGAAAAAAGAAAAAAAATCATAGCCTGTGATATTGTGTACTAATTTTGGTACTAATCATGGCCGAAAAATGGATAAAATCTCACTGTGAGTTATGCATTCTATTTCTAAAATCATTTTTTTTCCTGAAAAGTACGTAGAAGTGTATTACTGTCTATACTATTATATGATAATGTAGTTTGAGGAGTGTAAATATGTCTATTATATCAATGTGTGATGTAATGTATGATTAGTGTTATACTGTCTATCATCATAATAATCACTGTATAATGACTGTAATAGAACCTATTATATCATTGTGTTGTGTTTATAGTACTTTATGGTATGATGCGGGTACTATTATTATTCTCTTATGTGTGTGTCTGTCCATGTGCATGTGTGTGTCACTATGTAAGGGTGTGACCATGATTGTGAATGCATTTTCTTCTCTTTCAATAGTGTTGAATTGTACGTATATTATTCGTTATTTCTGTAACTCTTCATTTCTGGAGGAAATAAAGGAAATAATAATATTAGAACAAGGCAAAGTATTACAAGGCAATCCAAAGTCCCCCAACAGTAATGATGTCTAAAAGATATGCCCCAGATAAACTTTTTCAAAAGGTAAGGTCAAAGGTCAAAGCATAGGTCACAGTGAGGTCACTGCTCTCCGCCATCCCAAGATGTCCTTCTGGTCATCCAGGTGAAATGGTGTAGAAGATATGACCAGGACAAACTTTTTCAAATGTAAAGGTCAAAGGTCAAGTCACACGTCAGTGACCTAATTCTTGCACTCTGCCACCCCAAGATGTCCTTGTACACCTAATCTTGTTTCTCCAGGTGAAATAGTTTAGAAGATATTCCCCAGACAATTTTTTTTTAAAGTTTAGTTCAAAGTTCAAAGGTCAAAGCATAGGTCAGTGAGGTCATAGTGACCTTCTTCTTGCAATCTGCAATCCCAGGATGTCCTTGTACACCAAGTCTGGGTACTCCAGGTGAAACGGTACAGAATATGTCCTGGACAAGTTTCTTGGAGGGAATGCCAACCTATAGTCCCCCCCTCCCCCCGTTGGGGGACTAATAAACTCTAAGGTACCTTAACAAGCATCAGGGGTTGGGATGACTCCTGAATGCCTGGTTCTGGGAACAAATATCCCTGGGCTGGAAGTGATCAAACACACAACACTTAGGCAAGAATTGTACATTAATAACTTTATACTAGTTCAAATAGCAAAACAAGTGAAATCATTTTGCGTGAAATTTGAACAACATATTTGCACGTCAAGTACTCTGCACCTTCATCAGACAACTTACCAGTAAAGTATAAGTACACATATATGTTACAAATTATAGCTAAGAAAGCCCAGACTTACCTCCAGATCCTTTAGGAGCCACTGCTGACTGAACTCTGTGCCCTTACTGGCTAGGTGCACCAGACATTGTATAAACTTTGGCTCAAACAGATCCTCCACCATACAATTCTCCATAGACTTGACATTGTTGTTTAGAACCTTGAGACACAGAGACAGGACCCAGACTGTCTCTAGTAATACCTTCTCCTCTACAAAGTACAACAAATATTCTTATGAGTATATTACCCTAGTCAGTATGTTATTAACATATTTACAGCAGTACAAAACACTTAGGCAAGAAGGTAGAATCGTGACACCTCTACCTGTTGTATAATAAGACTCACCTGGTGTATAATAAGACTCACCTGTTGTATAATAAGACTCACCTGTTGTATGATAAGACTCACCTGTTGTATGATAAGACTCACCTGTTGTATGATAAGACTCACCTCCTGTACTGTGGGACTCACCTGTTGTATAATAAGACTCACCTCCTGTACTGTAAGACTCACCTGTTGTATAATAAGACTCACCTGTTGTATAATAAGACTCACCTCCTGTACTGTAAGACTCACCTGTTGTATAATAAGACTCACCTGTTGCATAATAAGATTCACCTGTTGTATGATAAGACTCACCTCCTGTACTGTAAGACTCACCTGGTGTATAATAAGACTCACCTGTTGTATAATAAGACTCACCTGTTGTATAATAAGACTCACCTCGAGCTCCTGTACTGTAAGACTTACCTGCCCTAATCTTGCCAACAATAGTCTGGATGGTGTTGATAAACAAAGTCACATGGTCCGTGTCCCAGGTGTCAGCCACCAATGAAAGGCAGTCAACAAATTTGTCCTGTACCTGTGTACCATAAACACAATTACATAATTAAACAGATTTACTTTCTCTTTTATCCCTCATTTCCGTCTTTATCACTGTCATTTCCTGTGTACCCACAGATAAACTGATATAGAGATGAAGAGTAGCTATATCACAGATTTGTGTAATATTTCTACACTTAGAACTCCCTTCATATGTACACAGAACTATTAATGATAATCCACTAGAATGTTTGTGGACCCCTTCTTTGAATGCTTCAATCCCTTATCTTATAAAATCAAGCATTTCACCTATTGTAAATGTATTATTAATAGATATAAATTAAAAATTGTTAAAAATAAGCATTACACATCTTCTCACTTTGAAAACTAAATCTTCATCTATCTTTTTTTTTATTGTTACAGATATTTATGTTGTCAAACCTGTACTGAGGGACCACTTCCAGAGGTTCAAAAAGTGATCTCTTAATGCAGGTAGCCTTTCAATGCAGATTCCCAATTCACAATGGTATAACTACAATGGGGAATATTAAAAGTGGCTTTTAACACAGGTGGTCACATAACAGAGGTGGTCACATGAGCAGGTTTAACTGTTACAAAGAGGGAAGTAGCACTATTAAACAGAATGGGATGTTTGTATGGCCACCTGTGTGTTATGGTGTACGAAAGGGGATGCTGTCTGTGCGGCCACCTTTGTGCGTAATGAACTGTTTTACTATAAAGGAACCATACAGACAGGTGTACAGCTTGAGGCTCTCAGAACGTTACCAATTCATCATATCAGGTTCCTAGTCAGACTGGACATGGGTCCCGTGTACAACAGTCTTACCGTGTGACGCTTGCGAGTCTTAATGTCTATGATGAGGGTCTGGTACTTGTCAGGGTAGTGCTTCAGAACCACTCCCTTCTTCTTCTCCATATCCATATGGTTGTACTGGACCAGTGTCCCAATAGTCAGCACCTACACACACAACAGTACTCGTACTATAAGTAGATGTCTTATGATGTTATTATTGACTCTATTGCTATAAGTCAAGGATACAAGACTCTTGTAAAGAGACACTATTTATGTGACCAAGTACTCACCTCTGGAAATCCTGCCATGACAAACAGGGCAAATATGGAAGGCAGGTCCAGCAGAGCAGTCAGTGTCTGTACACAAGTAGTTAGGTGGTGGTGGATGACAGACCGCCAGTCCGTGGAACTGTAGAGGTTTTGGAGGATCCGCGCCACTGAGCATGCCCACTCAAGTCCGCACCTACACAGGTAAATATGATGATTAACATACAAGAGATGATCTACCTGACAATTTACAAAATTACAGTAAAATGTCCTTGACTACATTGACTGGGTAATCACTTATACTGTATACTAATGGACGTCGGAGAATAGATTAATGTAGCTTTACCAATAAGTAAGTTACAGCAATCATGTGAAAAAATTGGACAACAAACATACTTTTCCAGACAATCTGCACCAAAGGAGAAGAGGTATTCAATGGTCCTCTGCCCATCAATGTAGCTATCCAATTTTGTTACAGCACCCTGGGTAGACTTGACTGAATCATCAGCAACCTGTGGTTATAAGTGGAGGATAGATAGTGTAGCGTAGGTCTAATGAACTGTGGTTATAAGTGGAGGATAGATAGTGTAACGTAGGTCTAATGAACTGTGGTTATAAGTGGAGGATAGATAGTGTAGCGTAGGTCTAATGAACTGTGGTTATAAGTGGAGGATAGATAGTGTAACGTAGGTCTAATGAACTGTGGTTATAAGTGGAGGATAGATAGTGTAACGTAGGTCTAATGAACTGTGGTTATAAGTGGAGGATAGATAGTGTAACGTAGGTCTAATGAACTGTGGTTATAAGTGGAGGATAGATAGTGTAACGTAGGTCTAATGAACTGTGGTTATAAGTGGAGGATAGATAGTGTAACGTAGGTCTAATGAACTGTGGTTATAAGTGGAGGATAGATAGTGTAACGTAGGTCTAATGAACTGTGGTTATAAGTGGAGGATAGATAGTGTAACGTAGGTCTAATGAACTGTGGTTATAAGTGGAGGATAGATAGTGTAACGTAGGTCTAATGAACTGTGGTTATAAGTGGAGGATAGATAGTGTAACGTAGGTCTAATGAACTGTGGTTATAAGTGGAGGATAGATAGTGTAACGTAGGTCTAATGAACTGTGGTTATAAGTGGAGGATAGATAGTGTAACGTAGGTCTAATGAACTGTGGTTATAAGTGGAGGATAGATAGTGTAACGTAGGTCTAATGAACTGTGGTTATAAGTGGAGGATAGATAGTGTAACGTAGGTCTAATGAACTGTGGTTATAAGTGGAGGATAGATAGTGTAACGTAGGTCTAATGAACTGTGGTTATAAGTGGAGGATAGATAGTGTAACGTAGGTCTAATGAACTGTGGTTATAAGTGGAGGATAGATAGTGTAACGTAGGTCTAATGAACTGTGGTTATAAGTGGAGGATAGATAGTGTAACGTAGGTCTAATGAACTGTGGTTATAAGTGGAGGATAGATAGTGTAACGTAGGTCTAATGAACTGTGGTTATAAGTGGAGGATAGATAGTGTAACGTAGGTCTAATGAACTGTGGTTATAAGTGGAGGATAGATAGTGTAACGTAGGTCTAATGAACTGTGGTTATAAGTGGAGGATAGATAGTGTAACGTAGGTCTAATGAACTGTGGTTATAAGTGGAGGATAGATAGTGTAACGTAGGTCTAATGAACTGTGGTTATAAGTGGAGGATAGATAGTGTAACGTAGGTCTAATGAACTGTGGTTATAAGTGGAGGATAGATAGTGTAACGTAGGTCTAATGAACTGTGGTTATAAGTGGAGGATAGATAGTGTAACGTAGGTCTAATGAACTGTGGTTATAAGTGGAGGATAGATAGTGTAACGTAGGTCTAATGAACTGTGGTTATAAGTGGAGGATAGATAGTGTAACGTAGGTCTAATGAACTGTGGTTATAAGTGGAGGATAGATAGTGTAACGTAGGTCTAATGAACTGTGGTTATAAGTGGAGGATAGATAGTGTAACGTAGGTCTAATGAACTGTGGTTATAAGTGGAGGATAGATAGTGTAACGTAGGTCTAATGAACTGTGGTTATAAGTGGAGGATAGATAGTGTAACGTAGGTCTAATGAACTGTGGTTATAAGTGGAGGATAGATAGTGTAACGTAGGTCTAATGAACTGTGGTTATAAGTGGAGGATAGATAGTGTAACGTAGGTCTAATGAACTGTGGTTATAAGTGGAGGATAGATAGTGTAGCGTAGGTCCAATGAACTGTGGTTATATGTGGAGGATAGATAGTGTAACGAAGGTCTAATGAACTGTGGTTATAAGTGGAGGATAGATAGTGTAGCGTAGGTCTAATGACCTGTGGTTATAAGTGGAGGATAGATAGTGTAACGAAGGTCTAATGAACTGTGGTTATAAGGGGAGGATAGATAGTGTAGCGTAGGTCTAATGAACGGTGGTTATAAGTGGAGGATAGATAGTGTAGCGTAGGTCCAATGAACTGTGGTTATATGTGGAGGATAGATAGTGTAGCGTAGGTCTAATGAACTGTGGTTATATGTGGAGGATAGATAGTGTAACGTAGGTCTAATGAACTGTGGTTATAAGTGTAGGATAGATAGTGTAACGTAGGTCTAATGAACTATGGTTATAAGTGGAGGATAGATAGTGTAACGTAGGGCTAATGAACTGTGGTTATAAGTGGAGGATAGATAGGTGATAAGTGAAGGATAGATAGTGTAGCGTAGGTCTAATGAACTGAGGTTATAAGTGGAGGATAGATAGTGTAGCGTAGGACTAATGAACTGTGGTTATAAGTGGAGGATAGATAGTGAAGAGTAGGACTAATGAACTGTGGTTATAAGTGGAGGATAGATAGTGTAACGTAGGGCTAATGAACTGTGGTTATAAGTGGAGGATAGATAGGGTAGCGTAGGTCTAATGAACTGTGGTTATAAGTGGAGGATAGATAGGTTATAAGTGAAGGATAGATAGTGTAGCGTAGGTCTAATGAACTGTGGTTATAAGTGGAGGACAGATAGTGTAGCGTAGGTCTAATGATTAACAAGATTAACTACATGTTATGTACATGATTAACTACATGTTTTGTACACGATTAACTACATCTTTTGTACATGATTAACTACATGTTTTGTACATGATTAACTACATGTTTTGTACACGATTAACTACATGTTTTGTACATGATTAACTACATGTTATGTACACGATTAACTACATGTTTTGTACACGATTAACTACATGTTTTGTACACTATTAACTTCATGTTTTGTACACGATTAACTACATGTTATGTACACGATTAACTACATGTTTTGTACAAGATTAACTACATGTTATATACATGATTAACTACATGTTTTGTACATGATTAACTACAGTTAAACAAGGTCAGTACAATCAGCTAATGCTGCAAACAGCGAAGTCCTACGATTCCTCAAATTAAGCTAATGAAACCCTGCATGTAATTACATACCTTAGGGGAACACTTGGCCAGCAGTGGGCCTAGCAGTCCCATGGCCAGGTGTCGAGTGTTCACCTCGTGTCCACTCTCCCCCCTGTAATACAGAGTTAATATATGCATATATTACCAAAATACTCACCTCTGTAGGACTAAGGACAGGTATTAAAATGTAAACTTTCCATTACAATAAGAAATACAAACAAGTATAATTTTGATAAAAAGAAAGTTTTAAACTCTGCTTTTCCAACTTATATCTCCTTGTTGGCCTTTACATTATCGGCTACCTCATGAGACATAGCTTCAGGACTGTACAGCTCAGATTTAAAGATTTTTTCAGCAAAACCAAAAGTTATTTTTTCTTACTACTTTTGATGTCGAAATGAAACACAATCTGCCATCACTGTAAACAGTATTATAAAAGTATTATAAAAGTATTACACTTCGTGTTAAGAGATGTTAAATACCTGGAGTTAGATTTTCATATCATTTTGGTCTATGATTTTATTAATTTACATAATATCTGTCTCATTTTGAATGTATCTATAATCAAGTGAAATGTTTCTGGTATTAATATAATAAATTGCACAAAGGTTGAAATAGACTGTGTAGCTCACACGATGCTTACAACAGTGTACAATGATATAACACACACACACAAGTTTATGCAGTGAAAGCTACTTGTGTAAAAGAAACATGAACTTACTTGGCAATCTTGAATAACAGTTGTATAAACTGATCCGTGGTAAAGTTGTATGTAACACCAGCTGATGAGATCTGAAACAGTAAAAATATAGGTCCTCTCTCTTATCTTGTCAGGCACTTAAGTTTGAAATATAATGATAAGGATGATTATTAAAGACTGATAACTTTCCATACTTAGCACAGTTCTACCAAATGCTGGGGTACTATAAAAACAGGTAGCAGGAAGGGAATTTAAAATTGTACTGATCACACAACTGAATTAAGTGACAAAATCTGATAGAGAATAACATTAAAGAAAAACCTTGTGATCTTGAGGAATCATGGCACCTAGCAATCCCATAATCCTCTCCTGGGAGTGGATGGCGAATGCCTGTTCCTGTCTGGTCTCCAGACGTAGTAGTCCTCCTTGTAACACCTCCTTGGTACTGTCTGGAAGCAGGGCAATCATACATACAGGAAAACTGAGTATTTATGGCCAAAATATCCAGGTTTTATAAATGCATGACCCATGTACATGTACTATGGTATTAGAGAACTGGAATTGGTCTGATATTTGGAAGGAAAACAAACAGCCTTTTTGCACTCTTTGCTTGACAATGGAAACAGACGTTTTCAAAAGCTTACAATACATTTTCAATTACTGTTTGTGTATTTAGAATTGGTCTGAACATCAATCATTTCCATTATACGTTAGCAAAGTCAGTTCAGTAGGATTGGGGTTTAATTGAAAACGTATTTTCAAGGAGGCATTTATGATGGATATATTGAAATTTCATATAGGCTCCAAAATAACAAGAACTTGTCACAACCATGTACTGATCATTCTACCTAAGTTTCAGCTCAAAAAGTTCAGGACTTTAAGCTGACAATGTTAAAACCTAAAAGGATGATGGATGCTGTATGCTAGACATTAGACAACAGACTGACTATTAACCAATGAAAAGTGTTGTTACATCACAAACATGATAGAATTGTAAATATATAAATGAACTGTATATTATATTTTGTAATACAGTTTGACTTCAGTCTCAATGTAGACCTTACAATGATGTTTGGAGCTGGAAATGTATGCTATGCTGTTGAATTCACTGTTGAACCCTTTTGAAACAAGAGGCCCAGAGGGCCTGTATCGCTCACCTGAATATAATTAAAGTCATTGGTATGAAGTAAAGATATAGCACTCTATGTTAGGTGCTGTAAGTACATATGAAATGTCAGAAAGATCCATCCAGTACTTGAGATAAGAACAAACTTCAAACAGAGCCCCACCCCTATGCCCCTACGGGGATCATACCCACCAATTATACAAAATTGAGTCACCGTCACCCAAGGATGCTCCACACTAAATAAGGATAAAATTCCTTAATCCCGATGGTCGGCGAAGGATTTTAAAGGTTTTACCTCTGTATCTCCTATTGGGCCCCACCCTTCTGCCCCCCTCGGAGACCACACCTACTGCTAATACAAAATTGAGTCCCCTTGGCCCAAGGATGCTCCAGACTAAATTAGGATAAAATCCCTTAATCCCTATGGTAGAAGAAGGATTTTAAAGGTTTTACCTCTATTTTCCCTATTGGGCCCCGCCTCTCTGCCTACAGGGGGTCAGACACACCGTTTTAAAAAACAAAATTGGTTCCCCTTCACCCAAGAATGCTTCAAACCAAATATGGACCAAATCCTGTCATTCCTACCGAAGAAGAAGGATTTTGAAGATTTACGTCTATTTCCCCTATTGGGCCCCACCCCTCAGGTCCCAGGGGGGCCAGACCCATGGTTTATACAAAATTGGTTCCCCTTTACCCAAGGATGCTCCACACCAAATATGGACCAAATCCTTTCATTCCTACAGAAGAAGGATTTTAAAGAATAATTTGCTATGTTTCCCCTATTGGGCTCCGCCCATCAGGCCCCTGGGGAGCCAGACCCATGTTTTATACAAAATTGGTTCCCCTTTCCCCAAGGATGCTCCACACCAAATATGGACCAAATCCTTTCATTCCTACAGAAGGAGAAGGATTTTAAAGAATAATTTGCTATGTTTCCCCTATTGGGCCCCGTCGCTCAGGCACCTGGGGGTCAGATCCACGGGGTATACAAAATTGGTTCCCCTTCCCCAAAGGATGCTTCTGACCAAATATGAAACAAATCCTTTCATTTCTACAGAAGAAGAAGGATTTTAAAGAAGAATTTGCTATATTTCCCCTATTTGGCCCCACCTCTCAGTACCCTGGGGGGCCAGACCCACCATTTATACAAAACTGGTTCTTCTTCACCCAAGGATGCTCCATACCAAATTTTGTTAAAATCCGCTCAGTGGTTCATGACTAGTAGTGTAAAGTTGACGGACGACGGACGCTGCGGTATGGCATAAGCTCATCTTGGTCCTTAGGACCAAGTGAGCTAAAAAGTACAAAAAGTACCAATGCTACAAACTACCGGGTATACAGTATATATACAGTACCTTCTGCATCATCAGGGACCTGCTGCAGGCAGTGGGTGACAATCTCTATACACTCGTGTTGGAGGTTGGCGGCCAGTTTGATGTAGTCAGTGTCCACCATACTGTTAGGGTTATCCGCGTGAATGATGTCCCCGGTGGATAGGGCTAATACTGTAAACAGCAGCCACACATGTTGGTGGATGTACGCCTGGATCAGGGAGTCGGAGTCCTGGGAAGGCCGTACTGAATACAGATACATTTATTTCAGCTAAACCTAATTCTAAAACTTTGCTATTTCCATACATCTCAAGTATCTGTCTACTAGACCTTGAGAGTAATGGAACATATAAATAATATATGCAATGCAAATCTCCAGTAAAAAAGGCAGGAAATAAGAAGGTGACTTTTCTCCATACATGGCTTTGATCCCATCTAGAATGTTCTATGGATGTTTTACAAGTTAAACAGTTACTGCATTAAATGGCCATAATACCAATATAGGAAATGGAAATTCCAGGCTTGTTTGGACTATTATGAGTCCATGAAAAATGTGCTAATTTTAGAACAACTCCTGTAGTATGATTTGTTGCACTTATGTACATGTTAAATACTTACTTGAGGGCTGATACAGACTCATGCTTACTTGAGGGCTGATACAAACTTTTGCTTACTTGAGGGCTGGTACAAACTTATGCTTACTTGAGGGCTGATACAAACTTATGCTTAGTTGAGGGCTGATACAAACTTTTGCTTACTTGAGGGCTGATACAAACTTATGCTTAGTTGAGGGCTGATTCAAACTTTTGCTTACTTGAGGGCTGATACAAACTTTTGCTTAGTTGAGGGCTGATACAAACTTATGCTTAGTTGAGGGCTGATACAAACTTATGCTTAGTTGAGGGCTGATACAAACTTTTGCTTCCTTGAGGGCTGATACAAACTTATGCTTACTTGAGGGCTGACACAAACTTATGCTTACTTGAGGGCTGATACAAACTTAGGGCTGATACAAACTTATGCTTACTTGAGGGCTGATATAAACAGACTTATGCTTACTTGAGGGCTGATGCAAACTTATGCTTACTTGAGGGCTGATACAAACTGAGGGCTGATACAAACTTATGCTTACTTGAGGGCTGATATAAACAGACTTATGCTTACTTGAGGGCTGATACAAACTTAGGGCTGATACAAACTTATGCTTACTTGAGGGCTGATATAAACAGACTTATGCTTACTTGAGGGCTAGTACAAACTTATGCTTACTTGAGGGCTGATACAAATTTATGCTTACTTGAGGGCTGATATAAACTTATGCTTAGTTGAGGGCTGATACAAACTTTTGCTTACTTGAGGGCTGGTACAAACTTATGCTTACTTGAGGGCTGATACAAATTTATGCTTACTTGAGGGCTGATACAAACTTATGCTTAGTTGAGGGCTGATTCAAACTTTTGCTTACTTGAGGGCTGATACAAACTTTTGCTTACTTGAGGGCTGGTACAAACTTATGCTTACTTGAGGGCTGATACAAATTTATGCTTACTTGAGGGCTGATATAAACTTATGCTTAGTTGAGGGCTGATACAAACTTTTGCTTCCTTGAGGGCTGATACAAACTTATGCTTACTTGAGGGCTGATACAAATTTATGCTTACTTGAGGGCTGATACAAACTTATGCTTAGTTGAGGGCTGACACAAACTTATGCTTACTTGAGGGCTGATACAAACTTATGCGTACTTGAGGGCTGATATAAAGAGACTTATGCTTACTTGAGGGATGATACAAACTTATGCTTATTTGAAGGCTGATACAAACTTATGCGTACTTGAGGGCTGATATAAAGAGACTTATGCTTACTTGAGAGCTAATACAAACTTATGCTTAATTGAGGGCTGATACAAACTTATGCTGAGTTGAGGGCTGACACAAACTTATGCATACTTGAGGGCTGATACAAATTTATGCTTACTTGAGGGCTTATACAATCTTATGCTTAGTTGAGGGCTGACACAAACTTATGCTTACTTGAGGGCTGATACAAACTTATGCTTATTTCAAGGCTGATACAAACTTATGCTTACTTGAGGGCTGATACAAACTTATGCTTACTTACATTTGATCATCGGAAACTTTGTGATGTCATGACTGGGCGTATGTCTATAAATGATAAAACATGAACATAATTATAGAGTAACATCTACATCAGTTTAATCTTCAGTCGTACCCTACATCTACATCAGTTTAATCTTCTGCTGTACCCTACATCTACATCAGTTTAATCTTCTGCTGTACCCTACATCTACATCAGTTTAATCTTC